AAAGCATGAGCTTGTCGAGCAACGAGATGTGGTGGGATTCGTTGCTCATCAAATACCAATCTATTTCTGCTCTTCCACAAGTGCCAAATGGTTGCAAGGAAAACACAATTCCAAAAATCTTGTGAGTGATTCGTCCCCCTTGAGGCTGTAGCATATTTTCTTAGCCAAGAGTCGAAATCAAGGTGAAAGAAATCAGTAGGTAGAGAGTTCGAAGACTCCTAGACGAACCGTGAGTAGTAACAATCTCTAAAAAGATGTATTGGTGTGTTAGGGGATTGCTCACAACGAGGACAAACCGGACTAGGAGCAATATGGCATGCGAAACGTACTGAATTTGTGAGAATACTCCCTCACTTCAACAGCCAGATAAAGAGTTTCACCTTTTCTGTGCAGTTTAATTTCTAGGTCCATGTCCATTCACTAGTTCTGGTAACATTAGACATTTGGGACTGTTGTAGAAGGTTAAAAGCTATTTTAACTATAAACTCCCTACAAGAATAACCATTCCAGAACAAGTGGTCATCTAAATGACTAGATATAAGTAGCGGAATGGCTGTAATAGTATGCAGGATAGTTTCTAGAAGGAACTCAGATAATTGTGATAAATTCCACTATGAGTTATTAATGACATCTACCACTGTCATGCCAAGGAGTTGTTTAGGGACTGGAGCCGTAGTAGAATCAAGAAGTGTCGAGGAACTTGCCCAGATGTTGCTCCATAGCTGGATATTCATTCCATAGTCAACTTGCCATCTTATTCCAAGCTGCAGCACATTCCTGCATTTTAAGATGCTACGCCATGTTGCAGAAGAAGAAGACGTGGTCTTGCAACTAGAGAAACGTTCGAAATGGAGATCTTTTTGGTTAAAAGCCTAACACCATGGCTTCTTACTCCCTGAAATTAGTTGCCAACCCAGCTTGGCAATTAAAGCTTTATTACAATCTCTGGCAATCTGCAACCCTTGACCTCCATGCTTTATTGGCAAATAGACATCACTCTAATTAACAAGGTGTGGCTTATTAATATTCGTATCAGAGCCTCATAGGAATTTGCGATTCAAGGAATCAATGGCTGAGCATGTGCTGCTAGGAAGAAGAACTATTTGCATAGTGTAAGTCGGTATCGAGGAGGTTACAGATTGCACTAATGTCTTCTACCCGCTAGACTTAGGAAATTTTGCTTCCACCCTACAAGCTTAGGTTGCATCTTTTCAAGGATGCACTTGTAAGTTTCAGCCTTAAACTTGTCGTGAATAATAGGCACCCCAAGATAAGTTCCTAGATCCATTGTTAAAGGAATATTACAAACAGAACTGTAAGAGTTTGCTAAATGTCTCTGGATATTTGGCGAAACAAATAGCTTTGACTTGCTTAAGTTTAATTCCAGCCTCGATCGTCTTGCAAATTTAACAAGGTAGTTCATGGTGGTTTGAACTTGAGAAGTTGAGGCAACACTAAACAACATTAGATCATCTGTGAAAAACAAATGGGAAAGAGCTAGTCCTCCACGTGAGAGCCGGAATGGTACCCATTGGCGCTCATGTAATCTGCTCATGATCATATGAGAGAATTTCTCCATCACCATAATAAAGAGATAAGGGGATAAAGGGTCTCTTTGGCGTAAACCTCTTTGCGGCTGAAAATAAGGGAGTTCTTCTCCATTCCAAATAATTGAAAGTTGCAGAGAAGTAACTGAGAACATGCTTAATCTGATTAAAGGAGCTGTGATGTTGAAATCAACCATTACCTCTTGGAGAAAGTGCCAATTCACACTATCAAAAGCCTTGTGAAGATCAATTTTGAAAGCAAGGGCTCCTTTATTCCCTTTTAGTCATTTCATAGAATGGATAGCCTCTTGGACAAGGATGATGTTATCCGTTGTGCTTCTACCGGCAAGAAAACTACTCTGTACAGGCCCAATTAGATTCTGTAAGTGGGGGACGTAGTCTATTAACTATCACTTTGGAGAGAATTTTGTATGCCACATTAAGCAAGCAAATCAGCGAAAATCTTTGCATCACATTTGGGTTATCACCCTTAGGAATAAGAGTAATGTGCACCTACAATAAAGTGGGCTTAAAAAAGCCATAAGAAAAGAATTTATTAATAAAAGAATAAAGAGTATCTAAAATAACTTCCCAATGTTTTTGGTAAAAAAATAGTTGAATACCATCAGGACCTGGGCTTTTTAGTCCTTTCATTGAAAAAAGAGATAGTGAGGCACTGTCTTCGTCTGATAATTTTGGCTGAAACCTGGAGTAATCATTGGTCATAGCTTGAGTTTCTTTTCTAGAGAACAAGTCAACAAAAAAATCACGAATATGAATCTTCAAGATGGTTGAGTCCGTGACCCAAGAATCATTTATTTTCAGTGCCATGATTCGATTCTGTTCTCTCATCATCATAGTGGATGCATGGTAAAACTTAGTATTTTTATCACCTGAAGTAATCCATTCTGCCCAAGATTTTTGACACCAAAATAATTCTTCTACGTGCAACATCCTGTGGTATTCCTCCAATAATTCAACTTCTAAATGCTGCAGAAAAAGAGAATGAGTATAATGGGAGAAGTTATGGATTCCTCCAAGTCTTGCCCTTAAGAGACATTTGCGACGAAAGATGTCCCCAAACACTGTTATGTTCCAATTGAAGCAAGCTGTCTTAACTGCACCAATAGCCCGCGGAAGAAAATGTTTTTGGGATAACCAAGCACTATTAAAAACATCTGTAAAACCCACATGAGTTAACCAAGCTGTTTTGAATCTAGATGTCTTTGGCGTCCTTAAGACCCGATTTGGTGGATCGATGTTCAGCATAATTAAGTGATGATCACTACATAATCTCGGCAAAGTTATGACCTTTGCATCTGGAAATTCTTCTAGACCCATTAGATTAAAGAGTGCCCGATCAAACCTCTCTTATAGAGAGACTCGCCCATTTGTTTTGCGTATCCAAGTGAACTGTATCCTAATGGGTCCTTTGAGAAGAGATTACAAGCATCCAGACAGTCTCAAAACGTTGAGCACTAGTAAATCTATTCACTGCTCTAGGTGAGGCTTCATCTATGCAACGTCTTTAAAATCTCCCATGACAAACCAACTTCCTATAATAGCTAAGGCCAGCTCATGCAAGACGAACCAGAATTCATCTTTCATAACACTGTGTGGTTGCACATAGGCAAAAGTAATGAGAAAAGAAAGCCTTTGATGTTGAATAGAGCAATGAATTGCTTGTTTGGTACTTAGTAACACTCTAAATCCACTAGAGTAGACTTTCACAACAACCATAGACCACCCGCTCATCCAAGAGAGTGAACCCTGTGTTGCTTATCATATCCAAACCGCAACATGAAGTGGAGGTCTGGGGAATTTGGATATGCTTTTGTTTCCAGAAGACAAATAATTGCTAGTTTCTGCATCTTGAGTAATTCTTTACATTCCCTTTGAAAAGGAGCGTGGCAAACACCACGACTATTCCACGTCACCATCTTCATTTCAAGGAGATGTGGAAGTTGGCTGCAGTGATTCCGCAGCAGGGGAGGAATGGGGCTTTACTATGAGCGGCGGGCCTTTTGGTACATGCATCGATAGCTGGTTTTGGCCAGTATCAACCATTGTGATTGTTGAACAATGTAGGGAATTATTTCCTATTGTTGGCGGAACAATGCTTTATTCAACAATCATGGTGTTCGGAGGTTCACTGATCTGAATTGAGAGTTGTGCCTGTGAAGCTTCCTTTTGTTTATTAAGGGCCGATGGGAGCTCATAAGGCTTAGGTGCAAGGGCTTTAGTATCTTTGAAGACTGGGCCCCCAATAGTAGTCTTTCACTTCTTGGGTTTGGGCTTCACAAAGCTTGTTGACGGAGCCGGAGGTGGGTTTGGCGTGATAATGTCCATTGGCATGGAAGGGCCCATGGGATCCTTAATTTGACACGAAACTCTTGCCAATTGGGAATCTGAAGCCAAGTTTAAATTTTGCAAATCTGTGTCTTCCTCCATAATCTTTGCCATAATTGCAAATCGATTACTCCGTGATTCATGAGAAGTCGAAGTGGCAACAATCACAGTTGTTGGAGTTTTCGCATGATTTTTGAAACAAAATTTTGTGGACCTTGGGATTTTAGAGGAATGAGAGATTCATCAGCTGGCCGCTCCACTGGAAGGCAAGGCAATTGCCTCCGTTTGGCTTTTCGTTGCTGTACCATCCATGGTCCAAAAACCATTGTGTTTTCCTCCGAATTTGGTTTTAAATTTGGTGTTAACTCAATCATGGCCTTTGAGTTGGGGTTACTAACAGGAGGAGAAGATTTATTAGGGTTCTTGAAACGACAAGAATCCTCTATGTGGCCAAATTCGCCACAGTAGAAACAAATTTTGTGTAAACCTTCAACTTCCACTAGAATAAGAGATTGAGGCAAATCCTCTAAATCTAGGTCCACAGATGATGGAAATTGCTGACTGAGATCCACTTCAATGCAAACTCTTGCAAATTTCCCTCTAGTTGTAAGGAGGGTAGTGGGATCAACTTTGATCAGTTTACCAATTTTACCACCCAAGTAGAGACAGATAGCCTCATGATAACAGACAATTGGAACTCCATGTAGTTTAACCCATACAGCTGTTTTGGGGGCTTTGGCTCTGGCCGGATGAAAACCCAGATCCCATGGTTGGACAGCTAGATAGTGATCAAACATTTTGTATGACCCTCTAGTTAAAACCTGAGAGTAATCCTAGGAAGAAGAAAACTTAACAATATAGTAACCCAGACCCACGTCAATGACTTCAAACTCAGCCTCTGTTCACCATTCCTTTAACAAACGTGAGTGAAGAACATGAAAATTAACAGACTTCCTGAGGAGTTTGATGATAACAACATTTTTCCAAGGGGCACAAAGTCGATGCCAAATGGACTTAGGAATTTTGACTTTAGGAATCTTTGTTTTGGGAGGATTGGTTCCATCTTTTGCCATAGGGGTTAGGCTTTCTAAATTAAGATTTGTAGCCACCAATTCTTCATATGTGACGATGATGGGTTCAAAGGAGGCACTTTCATCCAACAAAGTATCCTTAAAGGATTGAACAGGTTGCGTTGAGGCGGAGCCAGATATGTCTAGCGGTTGTGGCAGAGAAGGGAGGGGTGGATTCGCCGACAAGGATTCAAAGGGACTAGGGGAAGCGAGAGCCATTCAATTGTGCTCAATTCAAAATAAATCTTTACTATCCTATGCTAATGATTGGAAGCCTTTTGAATATCTTTATTTGGTAAAATCTTTGTGATTGTTATATTAACAGCTTATTTAGTATAGTAATTAAAATTCAATGGATAGTGAATAGTAAATAGTAGATAGTTGATAAAGGTAGTGGGTGATTAGCAAATAACGGATGGTGGATAGTGAAAAGCGGATAGCAGATGGTACATAGCAGATTCGATTAATATAACTATTCGATTCTATAATAGTTAGCGGTTGTTGTTTAAAATTAAATAATTGATAAAAACATATTGAAAAATAATTAAGTGTATTTTTTTTCTTTTTATCATTTGTATTATTAAAATTATTAATTTTTTTTAAATAATAAAAAATAAATAAGAAAATAAATTGTAATAATATAATCATACACTAATTTTTATTTTTAATGAAGAAAAAATTATCTTAGTTTTAAATAAAGTA